ATTTCCCAGCTTTGACTAAGGAAAAGTTCGACTGTATATTTATATCATGACCCGGTGGACTCAGGCGCTTGTCAATTTTGGGGCATATGGAGTTATTGGTATCATCTTAAAGCGTTATATCATTTGTATCACCTTAAAGCTTGTCCATTTGCCGTTCTTTTGATGAAAACAATATCCATTTATCTTGGATACAAGTCAAAATGTTGGTGATTGAAGAAGGTGGGGGTCGCCTGGATTCAGAGGTAAAATTAGTGAGAAAATGGCCACCAAAGTTGAATTATTTCTTAGCTTGAGAGTCCGTGGAAACTGAACATTTACAGGCCAAAAAACAAACCTGCGGAAAAATGCCAGTTTCCTGACTTTCATTATTCATTATTTTGACAAGCGCCTGATTTCTCCACGCTGCCTCACATACATGTATAAATATGAAAGTCAAAATTGTGGTGTCAGATTTGGAAAGCTAACTTTGTTGTGAGTAATGGCACTGGAATTGAGAAAGAGAAAAAAATGAAAAATTGTGGAAAGAAAAAAGGGTAAAACAGGAATGGCAGAATGAGTTTAGTTTTAGTAGGGGTTTTACGGCGTTCGCAACTGCATGAGGTCATATATGAGCGCCAGAAGATTAGAGCTGTTACAAGAGAGCAACAAAAATAAAAAAGAAGAAGGAGATAAGGATGATAATTGATAGATGTTTGATAGGAAAGAAGAAGCAAACCACACCAGAGCACTGGCCAACCACCCACTGGCAGAATGAAGATGTGCATGAAGACAACACATAGTATGATACAAGCACACAAACATTGTTTTGGTTATAGACAGAATGGCAGACACAGAGCAAGAGTAATAGGGTTTGCAACTGCAAAACTGAAAGCTGGAGGGTTGATCAACACATATGTACTGTAAAGACATCGTGAGTTATACTTCTTTTACCACCCTCAAACTTCAAGGCAAGTCCAAAGCCTCTGTGTCAAACTGCACCATACCAGATTACCACAGCAGAAAATAAATATATATATTATACAATGAGGAATGACTAAAACTGAAGAAGAATTGTAAGGGCAAAATTGAAGCAAAGCTTTTTTTTACTGTAAAAAATGCCTGTTGTAGGCTGCCATCCTCCTTTGCCCCCTCCTCTGGGCTCCTGACTCTTTCTGCAGCCTTACTGCTACTCCTTGGCTCACTGCTTTCTTTCAGCCACACCCCTGATCTTAGGGTAGATAATATTTAACACCTAGCCTTCTCGGATTGGGCTAAAAATCTCGATGGTCCCCTACGCAAATTGCACACGTTAAAGAACCTTTGACTTGATGGTCCAAAAACGATAAGTGTAGACTATGCAGCTGCCACACAGACAAAATTCAAAATCAATTCCTACCAAACAGAAAATGTTTAATGTGTTCCACATGCTCATATGACCTATATGGCTAGCCTGACAGTTTAGCTAAGTATGGCTAGCCTAG